AAAGTGCTATTTGGAAGGAAGGCAAAGACTGTCTCTTATTTATCCTGTAGTTGAATTTCAGCCTCATAGCATTATAGCTATTTGTTTTTTAATCTTTAAAGCCTTTAAATTAGTTTTAATTTCACATTTCTGTTAAAACATTTAGCACTCTTATAGGCCTCTGCTCTGAGAAGCAGTTGTTTCCCTTGTACCATACTTTTAGCACCATTTGTTGTATTTTACCTTTTCTGTTTAATGAAAATAATACATCCTCATTGTATTAATAGAAAATTCAAGATTTCAAGATATAAAGGAGAAAGCCAAAGTGTTCCCAGTATCCAAAGACAGTCATCAATAGTTAGTGAACATCATTCTAGTCCTCACATTTTACAAATATAGTATCATGCCATATATCTATTTTATAAAACATTTTTGTTCTCAGCATTATATTATGAAGATATTTCCACAAAATCTGTTTGAAGGACTGCAGTGTATTCCATCATAAGGATATACCATAATTAGTTTAATCCTCTCTTCTTCTTACACATTTGGCCTATTTCCAGTTTTTCCTTGTTAAAATACCCCTGCAGTGAAACATCCTTATATATGCCAGCTTTGCACACTGTCCAGTTTTTTCTATAGGCTAAAGTCCTAGGAGAAAAATTGCTCTAGCAAAAGATGAAAAACAGAAATTATTTAGATTTACTAGAAAAGTAGATGAAAGCCTGGCCTCCTACCCCAGGTACTGTTGGTTTGTTTGTTAAAGGTCCCTCTGGTCCTCAGTGATAGAGCCACCACAGAACCAGGAACCACAGTGACAAGAAACCACCTAGAACCTGTGTAATTTTAAAATAGCACTGCAGTAAGGAACTGCCCCACACTAGGAGCAAAGTGCAGCATCTACAGCCTCTAACCTTTTTAAGGTCAATAATGAAGGTGGCCCAGCTGGATGAGGTAAACATTTTTATACAAATGTGGACTGTCGCCCAATAAAAATATTCCCTCAATATGCTAAGCCCTTGGCCAAATACTGTGCAAACACATGGAGAAAATCTCTGTTTTCATAGCAGTTGTGCCTTTAGTGGTTGTAAGTGATAAGATGTGGAGATTGTTCAGGATTTCAGTAGCCATCCCACCAACCTCTCGATTTTACAGATGAGGCTGTTGAGGTCCAGCAATGATAATTGAGGGCCTAGAGCAGGCATCCTCAAACTACAGCCTGAGGACCACATACGGGCCGCCTAGCACATTTATCCGGCCCTCCAGGTGTTTTTTCCTCCACTGCCTGTCCTGCTTAGCAGCCGACTCATCCCAGGCCCACAGTGCACACACTCCAACGGTCTGAGGGACTATGAACTGGCCCCCTCTTTAAAAAGTTTGAGGACCCCTGGCCTAGAGTCACTTAGCTGGAAACACAGCAGTTGCAAGAACCCCTCAGATTGCTCTGTTCCCAATCTAGTGTTCTGTCCAGAAGGCCATGTAAGAAGATTTTTTTAGAAAAGCAGGACAGCGTAGAGACTAACAGCACAGCTTTGGAGTCAGGTGGATTTAGATTTAAATCCAGGATTCACCATTTTCTAACTATGTGACCTTTGATAAGGTACTGAACATCTCTTAGTTAGTTTTCTTATTTGTAAATGAGTATATTACCTTACAGAGTTATTGAGGAAATTAAATAAGATAAATGTTTTAAAATATTTCAGCATAATTCCTGGAAAGGTAAATGTTCAATAACTAGTAATAGTGGCTATTTGGTTAGTGATACATTCTGAATCATTTAGACCCTAAGATCATTGGATGGTAGGGCTGAAAGGGAGGAGACCTTAGGTCATCTAGTCTTTGTTTTGCAGATAATGAAACTAATGTTCCTGAAAAGTTAAGTAACCTAATTGAGACCCACAGCTCTTCCATGCAGGGCCTAACTTGGTACTCAAGTGTCCCAGCAACTTTGTGCTACTTATTGTAACCTTGTAAAATGAACGAAGCCAAAAGTGTTTCTATGTATTTCTCATGAAACTACTTCTGGGAATGTTCTGGCATCTGGCATAAACCTGCTTTCTATATAGATTGCCATAATAGTTGCATGATTTTTTTTAAATAGCCCTTAGAAACTAAGGTAAATCAGATAATGATTTAAGAGAGAAAGTAGTTGTAATTTGATCATCTTAAATTCAGGTTGCATTGATCCCTCATGGTTTCTTCAAATTGTAAAGTTTTGTTAGTTTTGCTTTCCTTTTTTCCCTAAGACCCTGCGTTCCCTAATTTAGTTTGATTTTCTCTCAAAATGATTCAAAATAAAGTTTTCACGTCTTAAAAAATAAAAAATACTTCTTCATTTTGGATTGTGGTCACCTTGATTTTTAAAATCAACATCTGTAGTGTTTGTATTATTTGAGGATCCAGGTGTTTTCAAACTACATTGTATAAAAATCAATCCTTACTCTGAAGGAAAAAGCACACTAATGTTTTTATCTTGAGGCATTGAGAAAAAATATAACCCCTCACCTCACTCTCCTATGTACCGTAAAGACTGTTGCACTACAGCAAAAAAAATCATGCAGGGCGAGATATAATGGAGTTAAGTCTGGACTTCAGAGTAGTGGTGATTCAGAAGAAAGAAATCAGGAAAGCCTATAGAAAGGAAAGGAGTCAAGCATGAAAAAAGTATAGCATGTGGCATATCACAGCAGAGGCAAGAAAGGCCGACCAGGATCAGGGAAGATAGGACTTTATACATGGATATATCTGCATGTATAAATATGTATAAATATATGGGTGATATATCAAAACTTAAGAATCCTTCTACCCAGGATTTTTTCAGGCTTTCCAATTTTCCCATGGGAAGTCTATTTTATGTTCTAGGTATAAAGTCTTGCAAAGGACATTTTACTTATCTGCCTAGAAGATGAACTGTTAGGCACAATATTTTATATAGTTAGTGTTTATCAAACTTAGTGTCTGACATGTACAATGACCATTGGAAATTATCAGAATTGTCATTAAACATTTAAAAATTTGAGGATTTCTGGGGAAATTAGAGCCCAAATTGCAAGTAGGTAGAAGTATGTGCCTATTCCTCTTTCTCTCACTTTCTCTTTTATCTTCCTCTCTCTGTCACTTTCTCTCAGACACACACACAGGCTAATCATTTTTTTCTTGCACTAGTATTTCAAGGAGAACAATTTATTTTAATTCTTAAATCTGAAGCATAACCAAGTCCTATATGACAGGTACATACAAGCACCAATTTATTCCCTACTCTAACCCATGAGTAGTTTTAGAAAGTTAGAACTATTCTGTCACCAAACTCTTTGGAATTATTTCATTCTTTGAAATCTCATATCCTAATGTCTAAATGTTTAAGCACATCTAGCTCAAAGAAAGCATTGTGTGTTTTTCTTTTTAATTCCAGCCCCCACAGGGGTAGTTATTTTTTAATTTGAAGAGCAGCAAGTCTTGGAGATTATTTAAAAGAACTTTCCCATCCTATAATTAAGGAAGAGCATGGGAATATAATGTTCTTGAGAGTATCTTTTAAAATTATGAAGAAGTTCTCATATAGCTTTGTAATAATAAACACCAAATAAATTAGATATGAGTGGCAAAATTTGAGATTCATTGAGTTTATTAATGGAATTACATTTCTCTGCTTAAATACACTTTGTCAAATAGGAATTATGAGTAGACTTACAGAATATGTAAGACAATCATTTATTTTATCTTTGAGGGATTATTCCTTGTAGAATATGGTGATTTTATCTCTTTCTTTCATTCTGTGGTATACAGTTTATCTAAAAGAACAATTAAGAATATTTTCCCCCTATTTTGCAGTCCCCATTGAATAGAACCAAAGTTTCAGGAAGATGTTACGTTTATCATACAGTTTTGTCTGCTTACCAATAGGTATACTACTGAGTAACACAGGGGGACAAAGATCCTAATTTAGGAACAAAGTCCTAGGCAATTAAGGCTGTTTTCCTGGTCACCTAAAAGCAGAATGTTTTTCCTTGTCAGGAGTCAAAGTTTTCCATATTAGAAGCTCTTTCTTTCCTAAGAGACCATTCCTGATGTTTTTGATGCTTTGATCTAGTCCAATGAATGCATAAAATCTTGGATACCAGCATGATGGGTATCAGTTGAATTTTCTCAAAGGGAACTCAACATTAATAATCACAGTGATATTGAAAACTATTTGGATTCCTCCATGACCCTGATTATTTTCATCTATTTTCAGAAAGCACCAAGAACACTGTAGCTGCCTTTATTCAAAAAAGGGGGGAGTCTAAGATGCTATAACTTTGGGAACATTCTGGCACACATACATGGGCGGGCAGCACAAGCATCCTTGGATGCACAAACACAGTCAGGAAACAGTGGTGCTGTGAACAGCCCTTACTGTGAGGTACTGATAGGTGCTTGTTTCTAATCATTGGAGAGAAAATGGGAGTGTCCAGACTTTTCAGAACAGATTACTCAAATATTTAGTATCATAATTCTAAGAGTCCAACAAACTACATTGGCTTAACTGAGTATTTATAGAAAATATCTCAGATGCCCAAAAAATATCTTCTGGCTCTAGATTAACAGTAAGTTAATGGCATTTTGAAATTTAGGTTATCCATTAATTTTTTATGCTCTATACATCTGGCAGGGAATGGATGGAGATACTTACATTTGAAAAAGAGGCTTTTAAAGAAAATAATTTTAGAATTTTCTTGTGTTATCTTCAGTAACAGAAGGGAAAAAAGGTGGTAATATATTCAAATGTATTAAAGTTTATTTTAGAGCCAGAAAAGACCCAAAGCAGTCGTGTGCGTTCCTCTTGCCCTCTGCCCCATCTCACCATTCTGAAGAAATCACACAAGATTAAATTAGTAATAATCTCAAGCCAAACATTTGTGTATGTATTCTAGTAAATTAACACATTCTTATATTTTGTATTTTCTTGACTATATCTTTGCGTTGTCTTTTTCAATTATATTTTTCTCATACTGAAATCTTCCTGTCCTTTCCTGTTACAGGATTATAGCTGGACAGACATCCGCTGCCCCTTTGAAAAGCGAAGAGATGCAGCATGTGTGTTTTGGGACAATGTAGTATACATTTTGGGTGGCTCTCAGCTTTTCCCCATAAAACGAATGGACTGCTATAATGTAGTGAAGGATAGCTGGTATTCCAAACTGGGCCCTCCAACACCTCGAGACAGCCTTGCTGCTTGTGCTGCAGAAGGCAAAATTTATACATCTGGAGGTTCAGAAGTAGGTAAGGATTTCTTAAGTATTTTTGTTCCCGGCATGTGCTTGAAAGCCAAGTGTCTGGTCTTTCATATTTAAATAAGCAATTAGTATTATTTGTCCAGATACTTTTTTTGGATAATTTAAACACATCTGTCACAGAGCCCATTTCTCTGAAGGTTTACCTTATTCCTTTATAAATCATTAATTTACAAAAACTTTAGCTTCCTAGATTACACATTTTTTTTTAATCATGATGAAGCGTTAGTTGACACCATCTTTATTTTAGCTCTAGATTAGTTGTTTTGGGTACATAATATTATTTGCTTTAAAGATTTCAGAGTTCATAGACCTTTTAAGAACTCTTTATATGTTCATGCTTTTTAAATCCATATTAACTTTGTTTTTATCAGGAAAAAAGAGCAATCTTTTTCATTTGCCTTATTCTTTAAGTTTTTAATCTAATGACTGGTAGTGGTATTTTAGCAGAACAGGATATAAGTGTAGGTATAAAAAAGCCTTTCTTATTGGATGATTTGTTAGGGTCTAGTAGTGGTCTTTTTCTAAATAAATAATTTTTCTAAATGAATATTCTAGGTGTAGACTAGACACCTAATGGCTTTTAATCCATTCATCTTTTCAAGTAATTTCTTTAGCTAAATAATGGGCTTATAGAGAAAACTAGGAAGACTAAGGAAGCCTAAGGTACGGAATTTAAACATTATATATATATTTTTTTGATGATTTTGATATTAGCCCAGAGAATGTTTTACATTTGAAGAGCATATTTATTTATCTGTTTTAAGTTTTTACCCCCTACAATGTGTCAAATAAATATAAGAAAAATTATGATTTCCTAAATGCAACTTAAGAAGTGACTTTTTCTACTCTTTAAAAGCATTCTCCAGAATGTAAAGAATATAGCATATTTCAAATACTATAACTCTTAAAGGTGACAGTAACTGTTCTTTGGTGTAGTAGATAATTTCTTTGCCATTTACTAAGTTTTTTACTTAAATAGCAGGTTTTTTTTAAATATCTGCTTTATATACTATATATTTTCCCCTAGTGTCCGCCTACTGAATCTACCAAATTGAAAATGTTTTTAAAAGTCAAGAAGAAGTTATTGTTGGTCATGACCATTGCTGCTTCTGTTATTCTCTGATCTTTATTTTTAATAGACCTTGTTTGCAATGGAGAATTATAAGGATGGTGGTGCTTTGTTTTTAAATCATTTGGCTTTAGCCCAGAATGGTGAGGATGAGATAAAGTTCTAACTTCTTTTTCTTGGGAAGGAAAAGAGCACTTGATCTTTAATAACATCATTTCTAAATTTTTTTTTTTGAGACAGAGTCTCACTTTGTTGCCCAGGCTAGAGTGAGTGCCATGGCATCAGCCTAGCTCACAGCAACCTCAATCTCCTGGGCTTAAGTGATCCTCCTGCTTCAGCCTCCCAAGTAGCTGGGACTACAGGCATGTGCCACCATGCCCCGCTAATTTTTTGTATATATATTTTTAGTTGGTCAATTAATTTCTTTCTATTTTTAGTAGAGACGGGGTCTCGCTCAGGGTGGTTTCGAACTCCTGACCTCGAGCAATCCGCCCGCCTCAGCCTCCCAGAGTGCTAGGATTACAGGCGTGAGCCACCACGCCCGGCCATTTCTAAATTCTTTATTGAGCTCCTACAATATGCAGAAGTTGCAAAACATGATGGATATATTTTGCTTTTAAAATGTATAGTCAAAATACTCCAGAAACATACATTGATACCTTGAGAGAGAGGATACTCAACAATAATGTGACTTCAGGATTTACCCACACAATCAGTGAGAGTAGTCAGTATAGTTTTATAATGGTACAGTAGTTATTATAGAATATGAAATAAGCCTTAGGATATTATCAAATAATAGTTTTATATATTTTAAGATTGGATTTACCATCTTTAAGTAGCTATGTTTTTCTACTATATGTAAACATCTGAAGTTTGGATGATTACCATTATGCACAACTGGCTTAAAGAATATATAATGTTTGTTATTTAGTATTTGTTCTTTATTTTTTTTTTTTTTTTTTTTTGAGACAGAGTCTCACTTTGTTGTCCAGGCTAGAGTGAGTGCCGTGGCGTCAGCCTAGCTCACAGCAACCTCAAACTCCTGGGCTCAAGCGATCCTCCTGCCTCAGCCTCCCGAGTAGCTGGGACTACAGGCATGCGCCACCATGCCCGGCTAATTTTTATATATATCAGTTGGCCAATTAATTTCTTTCTATTTATAGTAGAGACGGGTCTCGCTCTTGCTCAGGCTGGTTTTGAACTCCTGACCTTGAGCAATCCGCCCGCCTCGGCCTCCCAAGAGCTAGGATTACAGGCGTGAGCCACAGCGCCCGGCCTAGTATTTGTTTTGAAATCAAGCCATTCTAAATTTTAATTACCAAAAAATATGTCTTTCCAACAGATCCCTTTTTGAATGTTTTCCAAGGTCTATAACAATAGAGTTATTAGCTGCTTCTTGAACTATTTGTGCATTTTATTGTTGATTGAATATAAAAAATGATTCTACAACCCTAAATTCTGCCCTCCCATAACTAATGACTCAGTTCACTCCAACCCATACTCATAAGTTAAGCATGATGGGGCCTTTTCTTTTGCAGGAAACTCAGCTCTGTATTTATTTGAGTGCTACGATACCAGAACTGAAAGTTGGCACACAAAGCCTAGCATGCTGACTCAGCGCTGCAGCCACGGGATGGTGGAAGCCAATGGCTTGATCTATGTTTGTGGTGGAAGTTTAGGGAACAATGTTTCTGGGAGAGTGCTTAATTCCTGTGAAGTTTATGATCCTGCCACAGAAACGTATGTATCCATTTAAAACTCTAATTTCACAGTGAATTGTATTCTGTAAGCCAGTAGAAAATGTTAAAAGGCAAAAGGAACTCAACAGAAGATTAAGTTGTTTTTTGAGACAGGTCTTGCTCTGCTGCCCAAGCTGGAGTCACAGCTCAGTGGAACTGAATTCCTGAGCTCAAGCAATCCTCCCTTCTCTGCTTCCTAAGTAGCTGAGACTACAGGTGCATGCCCACCACACCCAGCTAATTTTTTATTTTTTATTTTTAGAGTTGGGGGTCTTGCTGTCTTGCCAGGCTGGTCTCAAACTCTGGGGTTCAAGCACTCCTACCACCTCAGCCTCCAGAGTCCACTGGGATTACAGAAGCAAGCCACTGTGCCCAGCAAGAATTTAGTTCTGGAGTTAAGAATGTACATAAATTCTGAATGTGTTAGTGTCAATGGCATATTTACAACCTCTACTCTTCCTTTATACCTTAAGAAATGCTTGACCTTATACCAAATTGGAAGCCTCTCTTTCTGATCCTGCTTGGCAGTAAATGCCTACGAATGAGACACATCTGATTCATGAAAGTCAAAAGATACTTGTGTTTCAGAGGTGAGGAAATATAGGGGGGAACTTATGATGAGTAGTAAATTTGCACTTAAGTAGAAATACTACATATTGGTTCAAGGCATTAATCATGCAGCTAGATATAATGTTTGGGGTTTATACTTCCTAAAGTATGTTTGAATTCATATTATTAAACAAATTATCCTTAAATCACCTAGGAAACAACTGCTCTTAAAAAGGCAAAATGATAAAGAAATTTTTTTAAAGTTTTTCTGACCTTGTAGTTAATGATGTACCATCAGTGTAGCCAAAGGAAATATGCTAATTGTTAACTAATGATGGGGGTGTTAAATCCAGTGACATTAAAGCTAATGAGGAAACAAACAGATGATATCCAAATCATACCTTTTGTCAATACATCCAAAGAGCTTTAAGAAAACTTACTTGATCACATGCCAGATTGCCCGTTGTTCTTCCTTTACCAAAACAAATTAGTGGGTAAATATGTTTAACTTGAAGTTGTGTAAAAAAAAATGCACCAAAACTCTTGTGCTTTAAGCTTTATATTTAGGAAATATTGCCAGACTACAAAACATAGAAGTCTTCCATTCCAGCTACTGCTTTTTTTTAATTGAGATAAGAACTTAATTATAAAGTGATCATTTATGCATATAAATGTGCATTTATCTATTTATACCTCACACTTATTTTAAAAGATTTAAGGAAACATAATCAGTAGCTTCTTTCCCAAGTAAAAAAGGTAATTACAATTGTTCTTTTCTCATTTTTTGCTTATATATTTTTTGATGATTTTGTATTAGCCAGAGAATGTTTTACATTTGAAGAGCATATTTATTTATCTGTTTTAAGTTTTTACCCCTACAATGTGTCAAATAAATATAAGAAAAATTATGATTTCCTAAATGCAACTTAAGAAGGATCTTTTCTACTCTTTAAAAGCATTCTCCAGAATGTAAAGAATATAGCATATTTCAAATACTATAACTCTTAAAGGTGACAGTAACTGTCTTTGGTGTAGTAGATAATTTCTTTGCCATTTACTAAGTTTTTTACTTAAATAGCAGGTTTTTTTTAAATATCTGCTTATATACTATATATTTTCCCTAGTGTCCGCCTACTGAATCTACCAATTGAAAATGTTTTTAAAAGTCAAGAAGAAGTTATTGTTGGTCATGACCATTGCTGCTTCTGTTATTCTCTGATCTTTATTTTTATAAGACCTTGTTTGCAATGGAGAATTATAAGGATGGTGGTGCTTTGTTTTTTGTTTTTTGGCTTTAGCCCAGAATGTGAGGATGAGATAAAGTTCTAACTTCTTTTCTTGGGAAGGAAAAGAGCACTTGATCTTTAATAACATCATTTCTAATTTTTTTTTGAGACAGAGTCTCACTTTGTTGCCCAGGCTAGAGTGAGTGCCATGGCATCAGCCTAGCTCACAGCAACCTCAATCTCCTGGGCTTAAGTGATCCTCTGCTTCAGCCTCCCAAGTAGCTGGGACTACAGGCAGTTGCCACCATGCCCGCTAATTTTTTGTATATATATTTTAGTTGGTCAATTAATTCTTTCTATTTTTAGTAGAGACGGGGTCTCGCTCAGGGTGGTTTCGAACTCCTGACCTCGAGCAATCGCCCGCCTCAGCCTCCCAGAGTGCTAGGATTACAGGCGTGAGCCACCACGCCCGGCCATTTCTAATTCTTTATTGAGCTCCTACAATATGCAGAAGTTGCAAAACATGATGGATATATTTTGCTTTTAAAATGTATAGTCAAAATATCCAGAAACATACATTGATACCTTGAGAGAGAGGATACTCAACAATAATGTGACTTCAGGATTACCCACACAATCAGTGAGAGTAGTCAGTATATTTTATTAATGGTACAGTAGTTATTATAGAATATGAAATAAGCCTTAGGATATTATCAAATAATAGTTTTTATATTTTTAAGATGTGGATTTACCATCTTAAGTAGCTATGTTTTCTACTATATGTAAACATCTGAAGTTTGGATGATTACCATTATGCACAACTGGGCTTAAAGACATATATAATGTTTGTTATTTAGTTATTTGTTCTTTATTTTTTTTTTTTTTTTTTTTTGAGACAGAGTCTCACTTTGTTGTCCAGGCTAGAGTGAGTGCCGTGGCGTCAGCCTAGCTCACAGCAACCTCAAACTCCTGGGCTCAAGCGATCCTCCTGCCTCAGCCTCCCGAGTAGCTGGGACTACAGGCATGCGCCACCATGCCGGCTAATTTTATATTATATATCAGTTGGCCAATTAATTTCTTTCTATTTATAGTAGAGACGGGTCTCGCTCTTGCTCAGGCTGGTTTTGAACTCCTGACCTTGAGCAATCCGCCCGCCTCGGCCTCCCAAGAGCTAGGATTACAGGCGTGAGCCACAGCGCCCGGCCTAGTATTTGTTTTGAAATCAAGCCACATTCTAAATTTTAATTACCAAAAAATATGTCTTTCCAACAGATCCCTTTTTGAATGTTTTCCAAGGTCTATACAAATAGAGTTATTAGCTGCTTCTTGAACTATTTGTGCATTTTATTGTTGATTGAATATAAAAAATGATTCTACAACCCTAAATTCTGCCCTCCCATAACTAAGACTCAGTTCACTCCAAACCATACTCATAAGTTAAGCATGATGGGGCTTTTTCTTTGCAGGAAACTCAGCTCTGTATTTATTTGAGTGCTACGATACCAGAACTGAAAGTTGGCACACAAAGCCTAGCATGCTGACTCAGCGCTGCAGCCACGGGATGGTGGAAGCAATGGCTTGATCTATGTTTGTGGTGGAAGTTTAGGGAACAATGTTTCTGGAGAGTGCTTAATTCCTGTGAAGTTTATGATCCTGCCACAGAAACGTATGTATCCATTTAAAACTCTAATTTCACAGTGAATTGTATTCTGTAGCCAGTAGAAGATGTTAAAAGGCAAAAGGAACTCAACAGAAGAATTAAGTTGTTTGTTTTGAGACAGGTCTTGCTCTGCTGCCCAAGCTGGAGTCACAGCTCAGTGGAACCTTGAATTCCTGAGCTCAAGCAATCCTCCCTTCTCTGCTTCCTAAGTAGCTGAGACTACAGGTGCATGCCACCACACCCAGCTAATTTTTTATTTTTTATTTTTTAGAGTTGGGGGTCTTGCTGTCTTGCCCAGGCTGGTCTCAAACTCTGGGGTTCAAGCACTCCTACCACCTCAGCCTCCAGAGTCACTGGGATTACAGAAGCAAGCCACTGTGCCCAGCAAGAATTTAGTTCTGGAGTTAAGAATGTACATAAATTCTGAATGTGTTAGTGTCAATGGCATATTTACAACCTCTACTCTTCCTTTATACCTTAAGAAATGGCTTGACCTTATACCAAATTGGAAGCCCTCTCTTTCTGATCCTGCTTGTGCAGTAAATGCCTACGAATGAGACACATCTGATTCATGAAAGTCAAAAGATACTTGTGTTTCAGAGGTGAGGAATATAGGGGGAACTTATGATGAGTAGTAAATTTGCACTTAAGTAGAAATACTACATATTGGTTCAAGGTATTAATCATGCAGCTAGATATAATGTTTGGGGTTTATACTTCCTAAAGTATGTTTGAATTCATATTTATTAAACAAAATTATCCTTAAATCACCTAGGAAACAACTGCTCTTAAAAAGGCAAAATGATAAAGAAATTTTTTTAAAGTTTTTCTGACCTTGTAGTTAATGATGTACCATCAGTGTAGCCAAAGGAAATATGCTAATTGTTAACTAATGATGGGGGTGTTAAATCCAGTGACATTAAAGCTAATGAGGAAACAAACAGATGATATCCCAATCATACCTTTTGTCAATACATCCAAGAAGCTTTAAGAAAACTTACTTGATCACATGCCAGATTGCCCGTTGTTCTTCCTTTACCAAACAAATTAGTGGGTAAATATGTTAACTTGAATGTTGTGTAAAAAAAATGCACCAAAACTCTTGTGCTTTAAGCTTTATATTTAGGAAATATTGCCAGACTACAACAAACATAGAAGTCTTCCATTCCAGCTACTGCTTTTTTTTAATTGAGATAAGAACTTAATTATAAAAAGTGATCATTTATGCATATAAATGTGCATTTATCTATTTATACCTCACACTTATTTTTAAAAGATTTAAGGAAACATAATCAGTAGGTTCTTTCCCAAGTAAAAAGGTAATTACAATTGTTCTTTTCTCATTTTTTGCTCAACTAATTGCCAATGCAAGTAACAGTAAAAGCAACTTGTCTTGAAATTTACCTTTAGCTAAAATGGGAGACTAGGAAATCTCTTGAGATCTTCAAATATACTGTTTCCAAGTGTTTTTCAAAACATATCTTGCACTTGCCAGGACAGTCTAAGGCTGTCCCTTATCCTCATCCTATCATCTATCAATTCATCTATATATCTACTCCATCTTGTCCCAACCACAGAAGAAGGTGTATACCAATTGTCCTCCCTTCCATATGAACCTTACCTTACTTAAATCCTGTGCTCAAAGAGTGTTACAGCATACTAGTTGGAAAACTGTAATCTGATTCATCCTGCTGCCTAATTATTTTTTCATTTCCAAAAAATCACTTAAAGTGGAAACCATAACCATATAATCTCCAGGCTTCTAAATTTGGAGATTCTTATGTAGGCAGTATCATTGTAATCAATATATTTTGTTCATAATAGCAGAGAAAAAGTATAAAGGAATTTTGCAACCTCAGTATTTTTTAGAACTGGATAAATATTCTGTTTCAGGAATATTTAAAACTGGCTGGGCGTGGTGGCTCACCCTGTAATCCTAGCACTCTGGGAGGCCGAGGCAGGCAGATCGCTCAAGGTCAGGAGTTCAAAACCACCCTGAGCAAGAGTGAGACCCCGTCTCTACTTTAAATAGAAAGAAATTAATTGGCCATCTGATATATATAGAAAAAATTGCCGGGCATGGTGGCATGCCTTGTGAGTCCCAGCTACTGGGGAGCTGAGGCAGGAGGATTGCTGAGCCCAGGATTGAGGTTGCTGTGAGCGGGCTGATGCAGGGCACTCTCTCTAGCCTGGGCAATTAAGCGAGACTCTGTCTCAAAAAAAAAAAAAAAAAACTTATGGCCCGGTGCGGTGGCTCACCCTTGTAATCCTAGCACTCTGGAGGCCAAGGCGGGCAGATTGCTAAAGGTCAGGAGTTTGAAACCAGCCTGAGCAAGAGAGACCCGGTCTCTACTATAATAGAAAGAAATTAATTGGCCAACTAATATATATAGAAAACATTAGCCGAGCATGGTGGTGCATGCCTGTAGTCCAGCTACTCGGGAGGCTGAGGTAGCAGGATTGTTTACTACGGCACTCACTCTAGCCTGGGCAACAGAGTAAGACTCTGTCTCAAAAAAAAAAAAAACTTACAAGACTTAGCATTTCTTTTTATATATTGAATCTAATGTGTTAAATTTGAATTTTGTGTTCTTTTCAATGCCCTTAAATATTCATAAATGAAAAGATAGTGTGAATTAGCCAACTCTTAAGTAAGTTACATACTGCTATGATTTCCTTTATAAAATGTGATCTAGCCATCTAAGTTATTTTTTCTTTTTCTTTTTTTTTTTTTAGAGAAAGGTCTTGCTCTGTTGCCCAGGCTAGACTACAGTGGCACAATCATAGCTCACTATAACCTAGTTATTTTTCATAAGAATTTTTGTTTCAATTTTGACATTTTTCATAAGTGTTTTATAATAGAATGTGTTTATTGAAAGCTAAGAAATTAAGCCTGTGGACCACCAAAAACAAATATCACATGTTCTCACTCATGTGGCAGCTAAGAAGTAGCTGCCAAGAAGGTAGAGGGTAAAATGTTGGTTACCAGAGGCAGGGAAGGGTGGGGGATGAAGAATGGTAGGTTAATGGGTACAACATACAGTCAGATAGAAGAATAAGACTAGTTCATAACATAGTAAGAGACTATAGTTAACAGTAATTTATTATATATTTCAAAATAGCTAGAAGAGAAGAATTGGAATGTTCCCAAACAAAGAAAATGTTCAAGGTGATGAACATTTCTATTACTGAATATGATCATACACATTATATACATGTTTGAAAATTTCACATGTACCCCAAAAATATGTACAATCCTTATATATCAGTTTTTTAAAAGCAGTTGGAAAAAGAGGAAAAGCTCATAATAAACCATTTTAGAGTAACAGTCTGAAGAGAAGAAAAAAGAAATTAAGCCTATGGAAACAACATGACATAGTTTGAGTAGTTATAATTTTAAGAAAACCTTCTAAACATTAAACTTCATATTGTTCTAAAGTGACAGGCCTCACTTAAAAAAATAAACTTCAGATTGGAAGAGCAGAGACCTGGTATATACTCTGCCTGTGAATTATAGGAGGAAGGAGAGTTTGTGAACTGCCTTCTAAACCTTCAGGAGATTTGAAATACACATACTCTCACATTATATCATTGACATAGTTTTTAGAGAAGAAAGAGGTACGTAAATTGAACTTTTTCAAGTCAAATACTATGTTTAATGCATAATAATAGCTCACTCTATAAAGCTCACTACATGGAGAAGCAGTGACGATCTAGTCTTTACTATTAATAGCTCTCCCACTTCTAAGCTGCATGCTGGTCATTTCACCTGGATGACCATGTTTGTTTTTCCTAAAAAACAGGAGTCATGCTGCTCTAAAAATGAGTCATGATTATCAAGCCACTTTTAAAACAAAAAGCAATAAATAAACAGACAACAAAAGAATTGTTAATATTTCAGAGTTAATCATTATGCTATAATTATGTTTGATAAAGTTACATTTATCAAGTTGTTTTAAGAAATATAAAAAACCGAGGCCAGGCGCGGTGGCTCACGCCTGTAATCCTAGCACTCTGGGAGGCCGAGGCGGGTGGATTGCTTGAGGTCAGGAGTTCGAAACCAGCCTGAGCAAGAGTGAGACCCCGTCTCTACTATAAATAGAAAGAAATTAATTGGCCAACTAATATAGAGAGAAAAAATTAGCCAGGCATGGTGGCGCATGCCTGTAGTCCCAGCTACTCGGGAGGCTGAGGCAGGAGGATTGCTTGAGCCTAGGAGTTTGAGGTTGCTGTGAGCTAGGCTGATGCCACGGCACTCACTCTAGCCTGGGCAACAAAGCGAGACTCTGTCTCAAAAAAATAATAATAAAAAAAAAAATAAAAAACTGTCTTAGAGAGTTACACTTATGCCAAGTTTCCCTTTTGTTATTGTTGTTTGGCATCTTTTGGTATGTTAGCTGTTAAAAGCACAAGCCTGTGTGCCGGTACCACCTTCGCAGTCACAAATGTCAGACACGGGAGTGTATGCAGAAGAAGGGATTGAATCTCAGGGAAAAATCACACAAAATTGTCTATGTATGTGTATGTGTATGATGCTGCTACCTGTGAATTAATATTCTTCAACACTTGTGTCCACATTTATATTCTCAATTTCATTATTTATAATAGTGATTGTGAACACAGCAAAGTGATAATAAATTACTAACTTGACAGGATAACAGTCCTTTTTTTTTTTTATCAGAGCTGTGTGAAGTTCTTAGTATAGATTTAAAGATGAATGTGTCCATAGTAACAAATATGACTGATGTGCTAATTGCTTTAGGCCCACTAAAAGTTTATTTTACTTATACATAAATATTAATTAAAACCATATGTGATATAATTAGTGCTTTATATTCTCTTTAAGTAGCTTCTCTCCTTTTTTGTTGCCATTTTACAAGCTATTGTGAACCACAGGAAATGGATTTCTTCCAAAGATATGTTAATAGTCTCCAGATATCCCCCATTTCTTAAATCCTATCAGAATCGAAAAAAATAAAATCTCTATTTACCCAACCTATAATCGATTACCCATAATCATTGTTAAACTTTTGTTTTCTGGCCTTCCAGACATTTTGTGTGTATGTACACATGTGAGTAGTAAATAAGCACTTAATTAGGATAATAGACCTTTCTTATTAGTGTAAGAGTCCCTTTACTTCCTGTGAATAAATACACTAAACCCTTTCTTTGATTTTTTTCAGATGGACTGAGCTGTGTCCAATGATTGAGGCCAGGAAGAATCATGGGCTGGTATTTGTAAAAGACAAGATATTTGCTGTGGGTGGTCAAAATGGTTTGGGTACGTGATATTAATTCACTTTTCCACTTTCCTAATGAGTATGCCAATCCTTTCTTAAATTATTGAATCCTTTCTTAAAATCTAGATACAAGCATTTACCACATATATCATATCTATTTTTATAGTTTCTGGGAATATATTTGATAAAAAAACTGCAAAACATTATCTTGCACTTGCAGGACAGTCTAAGGCTGTCCCTTATCCTCATCCTATCATCTATCAATTCATCTATATATCTACTCCATCTTGTCCCAACCACAGAAGAAGGTGTATACCAATTGTCCTCCTTCCATATGAACCTTACCTTACTTAAATCCTGTGCTCAAAGAGTGTTACAGCATACTAGTGGAAAACTGTAATCTGATTCATCCTGCTGCTAATTATTTTTTCATTTCCAAAAAATCACTTAAAGGTGAAACCATAACCATATAATCTCCAGGCTTCTAAATTTGGAGATTCTTATGTAGGCAGTATCATTGTAATCAATATATTTTGTTCATAATAGCAGAGAAAAAGTATAAAGGAATTTTGCAACCTCAGTATTTTTAGAACTGGATAAATATTCTGTTTCAGGAATATTTAAAACTGGCTGGGCGTGGTGGCTCACCCTGTAATCCTAGCACTCTGGGAGGCCGGGCAGGCAGATCGCTCAAGGTCAGGAGTTCAAAACCACCTGAGCAAGAGTGAGACCCCGTTCTACTTAAATAGAAAGAAATTAATTGGCCAATCTGAATATATATAGAAAAAATTGCCGGGCATGGTGGCGATGCCTTGTAGTCCCAGCTACTTGGGAGCTGAGGCAGGAGATTGCTTGAGCCCAGGATTTGAGGTTGCTGTGAGCGGGCTGATGCAGGGCACTCTCTCTAGCCTGGGCAATTAAGCGAGACTCTGTCTCAAAAAAAAAAAAAAAAAACTTATGGCCCGGTGCGGTGGCTCACCCTTGTAATCCTAGCACTCTGGAGGCCAAGGCGGGCAGATTGCTAAAGGTCAGGAGTTTGAAACCAGCCTGAGCAAGAGGAGACCCGGTCTCTACTATAATAGAAAGAAATTAATGGCAACTATATAATAGAAAACATTAGCCGAGCATGGTGGTGCATGCCTGTATCCAGCTACTCGGGAGGCTGAGGTAGCAGGATTGTTTACTACGGCACTCACTCTAGCCTGGGCAACAGAGTAAGACTCTGTCTCAAAAAAAAAAAACTTACAAGACTTAGCATTTCTTTTTATATATTGAATCTAATGTGTTAAATTTGAATTTGTGTTCTTTTCAATGCCCTTAATATTCATAAATGAAAGATAGTTGTGAATTAGCCAACTCTTAAGTAAGTTACATACTGCTATGATTTCCTTTATAAAATGTGATCTAGCCATCTAAGTTATTTTTTCTTTTTCTTTTTTTTTTTTTAGAGAAAGGGTCTTGCTCTGTTGCCCAGGCTAGACTACAGTGGCACAATCATAGCTCACTATAACCTAGTTATTTTTCATAAGAATTTTTGTTTCAATTTTGACATTTTCATAAGTGTTTTATAATAGAATGTGTTTATGAAAGCTAAGAAATTAAGCCTGTGGACCACCAAAACAAATATCACATGTTCTCACTCATGTGGCAGCTAAGAAGTAGCTGCCAAGAAGGTAGAGGGTAAATGTTGGTTACCAGAGGCAGGGAAGGTGGGGATGAAGAATGGTAGGTTAATGGGTACAACATACAGTCAGATAGAAGAATAAGACTAGTTCATAACATAGTAAGAGACTATAGTTAACAGTAATTTATTATATATTTCAAAATAGCTAGAAGAGAAGAATTGGAATGTTCCCAAACAAAGGAAAATGTTCAAGGTGATGAACATTTCTATTACTGAATATGATCATACACATTATATACATGTTTGAAAATTCACATGTACCCCAAAAATATGTACAATCCTTATATATCAGTTTTTAAAAGCAGTTGGAAAAAGAGGAAAAGCTCATAATAAACCATTTTAGAGTAACAGTCTGAAGAAAGAAAAAAGAAATTAAGCCTATGGAAACAACATGACATAGTTTGAGTAGTTATAATTTTAAGAAAACTTCTAAACATTAAACTTCATATTGTTCTAAAGTGACAGGCTCACTTAAAAAAATAAACTTCAGATTGGAAGAGCAGAGACCTGGTATATACTCTGCCTGTGAATTATAGGAGGAAGGAGAGTTTGTGAACTGCCTTCTAAACCTTCAGGAGATTTGAAATACACATACTCTCACATTATATCATTGACATAGTTTTTAGAGAAGAAAGAGGTACGTAAATGAACTTTTTCAAGTCAAATACTATGTTTAATGCATAATAATAGCTCACTCTATAAAGCTCACTACATGGAGAAGCAGTGACGATCTAGTCTTTACTATTAATAGCTCTCCACTTCTAAGCTGCATGCTGGTCATTTCACCTGGATGACCATGTTTGTTTTTCCTAAAAAACAGGAGTCATGCTGCTCTAAAAATGAGTCATGATTATCAAGCCACTTTTAAAACAAAAAGCAATAAATAAACAGACAACAAAAGAATTGTTAATATTTCAGAGTTAATCATTATGCTATAATTAGTTTGATAAAGTTACATTTATCAAGTTGTTTTAAGAAATATAAAAAACCGAGGCCAGGCGCGGTGGCTCACGCCTGTAATCCTAGCACTCTGGGAGGCCGAGGCGGGTGGATTGCTTGAGGTCAGGAGTTCGAAACCAGCCTGAGCAAGAGTGAGACCCGTCTCTACTATAAATAGAAAGAAATTAATTGGCCAACTAATATAGAGAGAAAAAATTAGCCAGGCATGGTGGCGCATGCTGTAGTCCCGCTACTCGGGAGGCTGAGGCAGGAGGATTGCTTGAGCTAGGAGTTTGGAGTTGCTGTGAGCTAGGCTGATGCCACGGCACTCACTCTAGCCTGGGCAACAAAGCGAGACCTGTCTCAAAAAAAATAATAATAAAAAAAAAAATTTTTGTATATATATTTTTAGTTGGTCAATTAATTTCTTTCTATTTTTAGTAGAGACGGGGTCTCGCTCAGGGTGGTTTCGAACTCCTGACCTCGAGCAATCCGCCCGCCTCAGCCTCCCAGAGTGCTAGGATTACAGGCGTGAGCCACCACGCCCGGCCATTTCTAAATTCTTTATTGAGCTCCTACAATATGCAGAAGTTGCAAAACATGATGGATATATTTTGCTTTTAAAATGTATAGTCAAAATACTCCAGAAACATACATTGATACCTTGAGAGAGAGGATACTCAACAATAATGTGACTTCAGGATTTACCCACACAATCAGTGAGAGTAGTCAGTATAGTTTTATTAATGGTACAGTAGTTATTATAGAATATGAAATAAGCCTTAGGATATTATCAAATAATAGTTTTTATATTTTAAGATGTGGATTTACCATCTTTAAGTAGCTATGTTTTTCTACTATATGTAAACATCTGAAGTTTGGATGATTACCATTATGCACAACTGGGCTTAAAGACATATATAATGTTTGTTATTTAGTATTTGTTTTGAAATCAAGCCACATTCTAAATTTTAATTACCAAAAAATATGTCTTTCCAACAGATCCCTTTTTGAATGTTTTCCAAGGTCTATACAAATAGAGTTATTAGCTGCTTCTTGAACTATTTGTGCATTTTATTGTTGATTGAATATAAAAAATGATTCTACAACCCTAAATTCTGCCCTCCCATAACTAATGACTCAGTTCACTCCAAACCCATACTCATAAGTTAAGCATGATGGGGCCTTTTTCTTTTGCAGGAAACTCAGCTCTGTATTTATTTGAGTGCTACGATACCAGAACTGAAAGTTGGCACACAAAGCCTAGCATGCTGACTCAGCGCTGCAGCCACGGGATGGTGGAAGCCAATGGCTTGATCTATGTTTGTGGTGGAAGTTTAGGGAACAATGTTTCTGGGAGAGTGCTTAATTCCTGTGAAGTTTATGATCCTGCCACAGAAACGTATGTATCCATTTAAAACTCTAATTTCACAGTGAATTGTATTCTGTAAGCCAGTAGAAGATGTTAAAAGGCAAAAGGAACTCAACAGAAGAATTAAGTTGTTTGTTTTGAGACAGGTCTTGCTCTGCTGCCCAAGCTGGAGTCACAGCTCAGTGGAACCTTGAATTCCTGAGCTCAAGCAATCCTCCCTTCTCTGCTTCCTAAGTAGCTGAGACTACAGGTGCATGCCACCACACCCAGCTAATTTTTTATTTTTTTATTTTTTAGAGTTGGGGGTCTTGCTGTCTTGCCCAGGCTGGTCTCAAACTCTGGGGTTCAAGCACTCCTACCACCTCAGCCTCCAGAGTCACTGGGATTACAGAAGCAAGCCACTGTGCCCAGCAAGAATTTAGTTCTGGAGTTAAGAATGTACATAAACTTCTGAATGTGTTAGTGTCAATGGCATATTTACAACCTCTACTCTTCCTTTATACCTTAAGAAATGGCTTGACCTTATACCAAATTGGAAGCCCTCTCTTTCTGATCCTGCTTGTGCAGTAAATGCCTACGAATGAGACACATCTGATTCATGAAAGTCAAAAGATACTTGTGTTTCAGAGGTGAGGAAATATAGGGGGGAACTTATGATGAGTAGTAAATTTGCACTTAAGTAGAAATACTACATATTGGTTCAAGGCATTAATCATGCAGCTAGATATAATGTTTGGGGTTTATACTTCCTAAAGTATGTTTGAATTCATATTTATTAAACAAAATTATCCTTAAATCACCTAGGAAACAACTGCTCTTAAAAAGGCAAAATGATAAAGAAATTTTTTTAAAGTTTTTCTGACCTTGTAGTTAATGATGTACCATCAGTGTAGCCAAAGGAAATATGCTAATTGTTAACTAATGATGGGGGTGTTAAATCCAGTGACATTAAAGCTAATGAGGAAACAAAACAGATGATATCCCAATCATACCTTTTGTCAATACATCCAAAGAGCTTTAAGAAAACTTACTTGATCACATGCCAG